CCCTCCCTCTCTCTCTCCCTCCCTCTCTCCCTCCCTCCCCGCCATTCCCTGTTTCTTCCTTGTCCTGTTTTAGTATCAGGGTAATGTTAGCCCATAGAATGAGTCTGGGAGAGTTTCTTCCTTTCCATCTTTTAGAGTGATTTTTAAAGAATTAGTATTAGTTTTTTGAATACAGCAGTGAAGTCAGTTGATCTAAACTTTTCTTTGAAGGGAACTTTTTATTACTTAATCTCTTTAGTCATTATTGGTCTGTTTAGATTTCTATTTCTTCTTGATTTAGTCTTGATAGGTTGTATGCATCTAGGAATTTCTCCATTTCTTCTAGGCTTTCCAAATTGTTCCAGTAGTTTCTAGAGGTCTTTCATACTCAAAATTTCACATTCGTATTTTGTGGTATCCCGCGTAATCTCTCCTTTCTCATCTTTGATTTTATCTGAGTCTTTCTGATTTTCTTAGCTTCGCTAACGTTTTGTTGGTTTTGTTTATATTTTTCAAAGAAACAACTTTTCACTTCATTCATCTTCTGGTTTTTGTTTTGCCTCTCATTTGTTTCCATTCTGGTCTTTATTTCTTTCCTTTTATGAATTTCAGGTTTAGCTTTTTCTTGCTTTTGTAGTTCCTCGAGGTACATTGTCTGGAGAGTTTGATTATTCTTAGGCAAATTAGACCCAGAGTCCCACCCCCTTGGGCGCTGGAGCTGGGTGGAAGGATCAGCAGAGCTGAGAGCCGACCACTCAGAGACCAGCACCGAGTCCTCAGTCCCTCTCTCCAGGCTTCTGCTGTCTTCCCGCCCAGAGCAGCTGGTCTCCTCCTGTTCTGAACCTCGGTCGGCCCCCACTGCAACCTCGCCAGGAGTCTCTGGTTCTCCTGTGACCGCTCAGCTCCAAGCCACGGCAGTTGGTGTAGTGGCCAGAGGTGGCAGGGGAGAGTGTGGGGACTACACACATCCCTGTGTCCCCACACTCCACCCCACCTTGTCTCCATGCTGGTTCTCCACCTGGACAGAGGAAGGGGCAGCTCCCGCACTGTCCATGCGACTCCCTGGGGGCCAGGCTGTGGGCGGTGCGGCGACTCTCATTCTCCTATAGGACCTTCCTAGGTGCTGAGATTTGAAATGACTTTTACTTTTTTGTATGTTTCTTGTAATTTTTAACTTTTTAAAAAGAAGTAGGAATCAAAAAACTGCCATTTAAGAATAATCGTGGAGAACTCTGCACAGCCCCAGTTTCAGAGAGCCGCCTGGTGACCACCGCTCTGAAGGGAACAGGCCCCTCACCCCGCAGCAGCCGCCGCAGAACCTCGCGCTCAGGCCAGCCCGGGAGGGCTTTCTGGGTTCCCGGGGGAAGAGTGCTTGGGTCTGGACTTGCATTTTGGCTATTGCTCATAAGGCTGCTTGCTTGGACCTCAGGAGGAGGCACGGCTTCTTGGCTAATGATGGACTTGGAGGGCACACAGTCTCCTGCTTACTACCTGGTGACACGGGGTGAGCCACGGGGCTCTGCACCCCAGGTGCCTTTTCTTTCCAATTAGGTCATGCTGCCAACATCACCAGGGGGTGGAGTACGGTGCTGAGGACAGGCCCCTGGTCTGAGTGAATCTGCGCGGTCATGGTTTTAGGTTGCCATCTTGCCATTTCTCCACTCCCCGGCAGCCAGAGTCTCAGATTTATTTTAATTAACCTGTGAGGTGAGTCGAGAAAGCAGGCTTTGCCCTCTCAGGAGGAGTGTGGGGTTAATTCGATACCTGCTCAACWGTGAAGGGAGTGATATCTTTCTCTTTCCAGAGGTCTGATGATGTGAGTCTCTAGAATTAACTGGCAGTGGACAGATTAACCGGCGGAAAGGCTACGACGTCACCACACGCACACTCACGGGAGCCTCCCAAGGAGGACTCGAAGAAGAGCCAGATGGTCCGAGTTTTACAGTGCCCTAAGCAAAGGAACAGAATCGGGTTGGGTTTCTGGGGGAAATGACTGGACATGGAAGGTGGGGAGGATACCCAGGGAACAAAGGCTGTCTTGTCAGGCCGACAGTCCCCCGGGGGGACCCTCAGAGAGGGAGGTAGGGGCTGAGCTCAAGTCTCCTTCCCTGTGATTCCAGTTACTCTTCTCTGTCGATGGGATTCCAGGGAGGGGTTCGTGATGTTGCCCTCCATGGCAACATCAAGGGTCGGATCAGGGAGAGTCACAGAGAGCCCCTTCATGCTCCAGGGGAGAAGGGCTGAGAGGCAGAAAGGCAGGAGAAGGTCAGAGAGAACTTGGTTTTTCTTTAAAACAAAAACAAAGAAAAYACTAGGCTTTGGGGTACTCTTTTCTGAGCCCTGACASCACCAGCCTTATGCATGTGGCTGCGTATGGTCTGTGGCATGTGTGGATGTGTAGGTAGCTCAAAAGTACACGCACGTCCCTTTAAGAATGGCTCGGAAAGTTAAAAAACTTAATTCTCAGACATGAGCCCAAAMTAGGACAGGCGCCTCCCTCCCAGGCTGAAGGGCACGCTTGGCAAGCCAGCTCAGGGCGCCCAGACRCCAGGGCTCAGGAGGAATCTCTGAACACCACCAGGTGACTTAGACCCCGTCTGTCCTCCTCAGTGCCCACGCCTGGGCAGGGGACACAGTYGGGAATGCTGGGAGCCGAGAACTCACTCTTGGAGCAGGTTCCTGCCCCCTCCTTCCTGTTTACATTTCTCCTGCCATCTGGTCCAGGAGACCTGGATTTGAGGCCCATGATTGAGTCTGATCTCTACCCAGGACCGCAGGACAAGGCTGGGAGGACGGCTTCCTCCGTGGCCACCACCCCCCACCCCCGGCATTAAGACATGTGGGCGTCCTGGACCTCCAGGCTCCTGCTGAGGCCCTGTTCTGCCCTCATCTGGCCGGTGGTCCACAAACCTGTTGCTTGATGACCAACGTGGGCTTGACTCCGTCCACCACAGTGGGGAGCCTTCGGGGCCCACAGAGAAACCGCTGAAGGCTGAGCTCCAGGCACTGAAGGAGAGGTCTGGGGCAGGAACGGGGAAGGGGCCGTGGACCCTGCACGCCTTCCACCCACTGTTAGAGGGGGTTGTCTGCTCCTGGTGCTTGTCACCCCCCTCCCTGGCTATCCTCTGTGCCCCTCTGTGACTGTGACCTTGGCTGTCCTCTGGGCCCCTCTGTGACTGTGACCTTGGCTGCCCTCTGGGCCCCTCGGTGACTATGAGGTCCCACACACACAGTTTGCCGCGCTTGCCGTAGATGGGCTTCTTGGAGACCGGGTGAGGAGCCCAGGCGTGTTGGGTGACACGCTTACCAGGAGCTTTTGATGTCTCCTGGTGCCAGAGTCACAGAGCCCGGCTCTCCAAGTGTTCCACGCCATCCATCCCCCTGACCAACACTTTTGGGCCTCCAGATGACCCCTCTTCCACCCACCTCTATCTAGGTTGGCTTTGGCCGGAGGGCAGTGACGGTGAGAAGGCGAGGAGAGGCGGGTCCCCAATGCCCCCTCTGTGCACAAGTCAGTCCCTGGAATCACCCTCTGTCCCCCCCCACCCCAGAGAGCATGGACAGAGACACCGGGAGGAAATCACCTCCGCAGACACACTTCACTCTTCCGACAAACCTGGCCGTGCCCCAGCTGCCTGCCCTCTGAGTCGGCTCTGCTGGGCCTCATCTCCAAGAACAGCCCACGCCCTGGACAGCCCCACAGGTGGAGAGGGCAGCAGGAAGTCAGGCTGGGGGCGTTTYAATGATGACACTTCTGTGTGTAGAGCCTTCCTCGAGGTGTTGCCAAGAGGATTCCAAGACACATTAGACAGATGCTTTTAATACACATCTGAAAAATATGATGAGAAGCCTACAATCTACACACTTGTGACCAGTGAAGCACGTCATCATGAGGGTCGGAAAGTGCTGACACAGCCAGGCCTTGCTGGAGGGAGGCTGGGATAGAGCACTGTGATCTGTACGTTCTCTTCACCCAAAACTAGGAAGATGGGYCTTTTGGCCAAGGGCAAAGCTGTAGATTTCCAAATAGCCATGTCYATTCTCCCCTCTATCCCACATACATTTTCCCCTGCACCGAGGACAGGACCCAGGGCTCACCCACACCAGGCAAGTGCCCCACCACTGAGCTACGCCTCAGCCCTGTCCATCCTCAACAGCCGGCCAGCGTGCTCACGCTTGGTCCAGTTCCCCTGGTCTCTCGGCCTGCAGCCTGTGGCCATGGCTTATCTCAGCTGGATCAGGCTGTGAATGTTTTTAATACAACCACCTGCATTTCTTCAGACCTCCAGGTCCCAGGGGGAACTTTCCTGGGGACTGGCTTATACGTTGTCTTTTGGGTTGTCTCACAGGTAAATAAAATTTAAATGGAAGTCTTTGTGTCCTCCAGTCCCAGATCACTCACTGCACAGCGTCGAGGAGCACAAAACCTGTGGTAAAGTGAGCTCTTTCGGGTGGGTTCACGAGCTCTCTCGCAGAGGCAATTGGTTCACCTTCAAGAATCACCAACAAGAACCCAAACCTAGAGTATCTTTGAGTCACGTGTTCCTGGAATACAGRAGACAGAAACGTCTTCCTAATGTGTCATAGTGCTTCTGGACTCCACAAGACGATCATGTTTTCCTCCATCACACATATTTAAGCATAACTGGGATACAATTTGCTGGAAGAGCCGCCATGTTTAAAATCCAGTTCCAGCCAAATCATCTACACTGAAATGCCCTTGCCCACATGGAAACCCACAAATGCCAAGGCATTTTCTTCCAGAGTGTGAATAAAGCAATAGTTATTCTAGAAAAAAAATGCTACAGAGGTCTTTTAATAGCAATATTTAAATTCTCTTGGATCTTCAAATACTTTAGGTGATTAAGTGCTTGATACCCACCGAACCAGCAGTTCCCACTAGAAATGGATAGATAGGTAAAAGACAACCAGGGCTTCACAGGGTTAAAAAGGCAAGACAAAGTATGGCAGAGCCCACTCGGACCATTCTATAGGATTGATATTAATTTGGGGGCAGCAAGTCTGAGGGGAAATACAGAGAAGTCRAGACCTTTGAGGCACATCTGCCTTTTCTTCTCAGAGCCAGCTCCCTCTCAGGTGCCCTTGAGTCCCGACGCTTGGACCTGAAGGTAGATGGTGTTTTCTTTGGCCTTCGCTTTCCTGTGGCAACCAGAAATGAAAATTAAAAGTCAAAATTAAGAAGCAGTCAACATCTCCATCAGGGTTGCAAAGCTGTGTGCAGAGTATCTCAAACATACAGGGAGACCCAGGAGAGCAAGCAACGAGGACAATGGGTTGACCAGGAGCCAGGGCCAGGTCTGGCTTGTGGCCTGCCTGTGTCAGGTGTGTGAGTGGAGGTTTCTTCTTATTATGATGTTTAAATTGGTGGAAAACATCAAAATGAAAATATTTTGTGGCACTTGTAAATGAAATTCAAATTTCCACGTCCAGAGACAAACCTGGATTAGAAGCCAGATTCACCCACTTAGGTAGGTGTGGTCTAGGCTGCTTTCTGCTATGGGGTCAGAACTGAGTCACAGCAACGGATGCCCAGGCCTGCGGGATTCACCTGCCCGTTCAGGGGAGTTTGGCAGCCCCCTGGGGTGGACACCCATGGAGCTGCTGCCTACCACAGGCACCTAATAGTCAACACTCCATCTTGAATCTGGAGGCTTAGGGGGGCCTGTCATTAGTCCTTCATCTGTAGAAGGAGTCTGCAAAAACAGCAGGTGCTGAGCAGGGCTTGGGAGGATGCACCAAGTGCTTCCACTGAGCACTCCACAAAGGTCAGTTAGGGCYACCACCACCACACTCATCCCTGATGTCTCCCCGAAGCAGGGACATAGGAGTCACAGAAGTGATCACTCTGTCRATGGATTGGAACTGCGCATGGAGTTATATAGAGGAGAAGACCAACAATGAAATGGGATATTATGAAACAGGAAGAGCACTGTGGAGAGCAGAGGAGGTGTGGCTGGGGGCTCGGGCCAGAGCACCTGGCCTCCCGGGAGGGCAATGGAGTGAGTATTGAACACAGCACCTAGGAGAGGACCAGGGGCCTGTCAACAAGACAGAAAGCAATAAAGTGAACCAGACAATACAACATTCCTACCACTGGACCCAGAGAGCATCATCAGCCACTGGAGGAAGCATGTGTCGTTCAGAGAGCACCTGTCGGCGGGCATCACCGGCAGAGCTTATTCAAACAGCTGCCAGAGCCCCACTTTCATTACCTAAGTCAAGACCAAGGAATCTGCATGTTTGCAACTTCCCTTGTGATTCTTCTACATCCAAAGTTTTGAGAATCATTGACGAAATCATACAATTTGCAAGAAAAGTGGAGAGAATCTGAGATGTATTGAACATCCAGTAAGATAAGGCAATAGATCAATCACAGTCATCGACCTCAGCTGCTGAGTTTCCACGGCAGCCCTCTAAGTTAGGGACGGACCATGTGGTATATTACAGGGAAGGAAATTCAGGCCTGAAGGGCTCAGTGACATTCCCAGAGTCTCAGGACCATGTCTGGATTTAGGCCCAGGTCCTTATGACTCCAGGGACCACTCTCTACCGCACAGGGACCCGTGTCTGGCTACGAAATCCTTGGAACTGAGCCTGGAAATGGGCCTGAGAGATTGACTGCTTCACTGGGGACTTTTGCTTTCTTTTCTTCTTCCTTCTTTTCTTTCTTTCTTTCTTTCTTTTTTTTAAAGAGCTTTAAGAGTAGAATCTGAAACTCTATGAAAGCACACTCCATTACAAGAATCAAGACTTCAATGGGCTGGGGATGTGGCTCAAGCGGTGGCGCGCTCGCCTGGCATGGGTGCGGCCCGGGTTCGATCCTCAGCACCACATACCAACAAAGATGTTGTGTCCACCAAAAACCAAAATGTAAATAAAATATTTAAAAAAAAAAAAGACTTCAAGCCATTTTTTGTTTGAGAATTCACACCCTATATGAGTCAAATGTATGATATATCAAGATCATTGTATTGTCTTGAGCAACTAATGAAAAAAAAAGAAAGAAAAATCACTAAAGAATCTGAACCAGGGGCTGGGGTTGTGGCTCAGGGATAGAGCACTYGCCTAGGACATGTGAGGCCCTGGGTTCGATCCTCAGCACCACATAAAAATAAATAAATAAAATAAAGGCATTGTGTCCATCTACAACTAAAAAAAAAATTTAAAAGAAAGAAAGAAAACTAGGGATGGAACCACCATTTGACCCAGCTATCTCACTCCTCTGTCTATATCCAAAGGACTTAAAAACAGCATAGTATAGTAACGAAGCCACCTCAATGTTCAGAGCAGCTCAATTCATAATAGCTAAACTGTGGAAGCAACTTAGATACCCTTCATAGATGAATGGGTAAAGAAACTGTGGTATATTTTCAGAATGGAATATTGCTCGGCATTAAAAGAGAATAAAATTATGGCATTTGCAGGTAAATGGATGAATATCATGCTAAATGTATTAAGCTAATCCCCAAATCCAAAGGCCAAATGTTCTCTCTGACAAGTGGATGCTGATCCATAATGGGGGTGGGGGTGGGGAGAATGGAGGAATTTGATCCGGCCAAGGGGAGGGCAGGAAGGGGAGAGGACATGGAGGTAGGAAAGACGGTGGAATGAGACAGACATCATCACCCTAGGTCCATCTCTGAATGCACACATGCTGCAACTCTACATGGTGTACAACCAGAGAAACAAATAGTTAGTTGTGCTCCGTTTGTGCACAGCAAATCAAAAAGCTTTCTGCTGTCATGTGTAACTGATTAGAGCTAATAAAAAATAAATTTTAAAGAAAAGATGGAAGAAAGAGAGTGTGTGGAGTGACACCGTGACCCTTCTAGAGGACATGGCTAACATCTCCCACCCCAGCACCCGGGACATCACCTCTGGAGGTTCTCGGCATCTTGGATGGTCTCAGGCAGAGCAACGCCCTTGGTCTCGGGAAGAAGCAGCGTCATGCCTCCAGCCGACAGGCCCAACACCCCTTCAATGAGACAGATGGCAAGAGGAGGGTTAGAGCACAGGTACCTCCACCTCCAGAAAGGTTCACGGCCACCACAGAGAGGGGGGGAGAGACCCGGCTTACTGCCAAGACCTTGTCAGGGACATTCAGGAGAGAAAACCGTGGGGTAGCCGGGGGAGGCCAGAGGAAGGAAAGGAAAGGAGCCTGTGTACCTCC